AAAAATAATTCTTGATATTGTAGATTGTGAAATTTGTATCACGTCTCCCATAACAAGCTGTAAAAATAAATGGTGAGTGAATCTATACCGCTATGTGAATTACATAAATAAGTAAAGACTCGCCAAATACGGCAGTGCAAAAATAAAATTTTTCAATTAATTTGTACTATTCTTTTATATTTAAATATATATATACTTTTTTTCGTAAATTTTATTTTTGCAGCTCATACACACACACACACACACACACAACAGGATAAACTTACCTGAAAACTTGCTGTTGCGTAGAACCTAAAGCATATCAATAATTGTAAAACAGGACTTATTGGCAAACCGCGATTATTTATTTTGGCTAGTCCTTCCTCTACTAATGGTAAAATACCAAACATAATGGAATTCTTTAAAAATCGAAATTTTTTTTTGAATTCTCTTTCATTATAAAATTCAAATGAATTTTGTTTATCACGAATGTACCGTTTCGGTGCACGTAACTGTATTTCTTCGTCTTCTTCTTCTTCTCCATTAAAAAAATCAATATCTCGAATTTCAAGATTTGCTAAATCCATTATTAGTAAAAATAAAATATAAATGTATGTTCCACTTTCTTTCAAGCACTTGAGTTTGCTCTGATTATAGCTGCAAAAATTTTTCAAGTTAATAGTTAAGATTATGGCCTAGTTTACACCAATCACTTGATACGCGTATTAAATAGTAAGTAGCTAGTAGGTAAATAAGTCTGATTATTGGCTGATCAGTTCAAATATACTATTTGATACGCGTATCAAGAAATCGGTGTAAACTAGGCCAATATTAGATTGCAATAAAACATGCATTACATGTACCGTGCGTGATTATCAACTTACGTGAACAACAGGTGACAGGTGTAAATCCTGTTGTACGTGGAATATCCAAGATCTAAAGCGTGTAAAGCAGGCCTTGTCCTCACGCCGAACTCTCGCCGAGATCCTCGGTCCTCCGTAGTTCGACTTTCTTTCAAGCATTAGAGTTTGCTCTGATTATAGCTGTAAAAATTTTTCAAGTTAATAGTTAAGATAATATTAGATTGCAATCAAACATGCATTACATGTACCGTGCGTAATTATCAACTTACGTGAACAACAGGTGACAGGTGTAAATCCTGTTGTACGTGGAATATCCAAGATCTAAAGCGTGTGAAGCAGGCCTTGTCCTCACGCCGAACTCTGGCCGAGATCCTCGGTCCTCCGTAGTTCGACTTTCTTTCAAGCACTAGAGTTTGCTCTGATTATAGCTGTAAAAATTTTTCAAGTTAATAGTTAAGATAATATTAGATTGCAATCAAACATGCATTACATGTACCGTGCGTGATTATCAACTTACGTGAACAACAGGTGACAGGTGTAAATCCTGTTGTACGTGGAACATCCAAGGTCTAAAGCGTGTGAAGCAGGCCCTGTGTTCAGAATGATTTTCACCGGAAATCCTCGGTCCTTCGTATTACAATGTGCAAAAAAATGAAGGTGTCGAGCGGTAGTTGAGATTCTCGATCCTTCTACTTAGGTTATGGTGCAGATACAGAAATATGCAATGTTCCACTGAAATCCTCGGGCCTTCGTATCTTGTGCGAAAGAATGAGGGTGTCGAGCGGTAGTCGAGATTCTCGATCCTTCTCCTAAAAAATAGAAAAATAAAGTAATATAGGATTAATATGATTATTGCTGTAAGAGTATAACCTATAACCTCACGGACATTAATATCAAATAAATGATACATTATAATAATAAAGATATTATTTGTATTATACATAATAAAGATATCATTTATATTACAAATGATATTATTTATATCACTGATAAAAATATATTACACTTTCGTCTCACTTTACTAATAATAATCTTGAATTTGCTTTTGCTTAAGTCGTCTATGACCACGACTTGACGAAGATTGTCTTATTTAACAAAATATATGTCAAATAAGATAATCTTAAACGACTATAAATATTATAACTAATAAGATAATCTTCAGTCCCTACTTACAACGAATGAGATAAGTTTATGAATCATAATAAGATGCTTTGAAAGAAGATCGTCTTCGACAAGCTACGCTTTGAGATTTTTCTCAAGTATAGACTTGTTTTATGACTGTGAATCAAAGCGCCATCTTAAAACTGTACTTAAGAAGATCTTGAAAATAAGCCTTGACTATGAATGCGGGCCTTAATCAAGTCTGGAGTGAGGGATGTATTCCTAAGGATTGGAGAACTTCAATTATAGTCCTTCTATATAAGAGAGGAGAGGTAAATAAGGTTGGAAACTACAGGGGAATCTCTTTCCTGTGCTCAGCCTATAAAATATATGCGAAGATAATCAGAAGGTTGGAGAAGATTGTGGTACAAAAAGGTTTGCTGCCGGAGAGTCAAGCGGGATTTAGGAAAGGACGTTCAACGATGGATAACATTTTTGTATTGGATCATCTAACACACAGGGAGGATAAGGTTGGAAAGAAGGACAAGGTCTATGCGTTCTTTGTTGACTTGAAGGCGGCTTTTGATAATGTAGAGAGGTCAGCTGTGGAAGATTCTTAGGAAGATGGGAATTGAAGAAGAGCTTGTAAAGAAGATGGAAGAAATTTATGAAACTACGGAAGTTGCAGTTAGAACGAAGGATGGATTAACAGAAAAATTCAGGGTTACGAAAGGCGTGAGGCAAGACTGTGTTCTGAGTCCACTTTTATTCAACTTGTTTATAGCGGACATTAGGAATGTATTGAAGGATAGAGGAATCGGCGGAGTTAAACTAGGAAATGATAGAGTATGGTCGTTAGAATATGCGGACGATATGGTATTTTTAGCTAAAAATAGGGTTGCGATGTTAGATATGATGGATACAATTAAAAGATTTCTTAGGAAAAGGAAAATAGTATTGTGTACCGAAAAGACTAAGATGATGGTGTTCAATAAAAAAGGTAGGGAAAAATTTGAAAGGTGGAAATGGGATAATAAAGAAATTGAAAAAGTTAAACAGTTTAAATATTTGGGATTTATGTTCAGCAGGAATGAAAAATATGCAGAACATGTAAAAGATTTATGCAGAAAAGGGAGGATTGCGGTAAATAAAGTTTGGGGTTTGGGGGAAAGAATTTGTAGAAACGATTTTTGTAGAAGGTTGATGTTGTTTAAATATTTGGTTCAAAGTGTGATTTCGTATGGTGTAAAAATATGGGGATGGGAGGAAAGAAAAGAATTAGAAAAAATTATGTTGGACTACGTTAGATGGATTTTTAATTTGAAATTTTGTACCCCAAGATACATGATGTCAAAGAAGTTGGGATTAAAGAAATTAAGAATAGGGTGGGGGATAAGGGCTATAAGATATGAAGAAAAAATTAGAGCAGCTGATGATAATAGATGGATTAAAATGTGCTGGTTAGATAAAGAAGGAAATGATTGGAAAGATAGATATGATAGAGAAAGATCAAAATATTTTAATAGGAATGGTTGGAGTACTATGGCTGTGGATGCTTTAAGAAGGGAAGGAAGAGATTTAGTTAAGGAAATGAGTAAAAGAGATGAAGATGTGCAAAGACAAATTGAGGAAAGTAATATTTTAAATTCTAGGTATAATAAGAAATATAAGAATTTAAGTAGAGAAATAGGTGGCCCTAAATATTTGAGGAAGGAATATATGGATAAATATGATAAAGGCAAAATTATTAGAGCACTGGTAAACTTAAGATGTGGTAATTTAGAGGACGCAAATATGTATTGATTGAAAAGGGAGAGAGGTATTTGTATGTTTTGTAAACAAGGTAGGGATAACACGAATCATTATGTATCAGAATGCGAAGCGATAAAAAATTGGTGTATAGAATTAGGTAAGAATAATAAAGAAAGATTAGAGAGGCTTTGGAATGATAAAATGGGCAGCATCAAAGAGAAGATATTGTTAAGATTATATAAAGAACGGTCAGCGTTAGAAAAAAAAGAGCGAAAAAAAAGTTGGATTAAAACATAGAAGGTCAATTGTGTATCAATATGTGCAATAGTTACTTGTAAATTAGGATAGTAGTGTTGAATGGAAGGATGAATGATTAAGGTTATTTGTAAACCAAGTCCACTTCTTGGCTATGTAGCTGAAGTTAACAATAAATAATAATAATAATAGGTACCTCATCTTGCTTAGTTTTATTCTTATTCCTTTATTATTATCTTTAGATGTAATTCTATGGTATGTCCTGAGAAAGACCAAGTAAGGTCAAAACGTTGGCTTGATAATTAAATTTATTTCAAATACTCTTATATATTTTTTTTAACAACGTCCCAATATTGCTCGGAAGATATGCCGTATTCTACTACTTAGCTTTTGCTTTTGACGAGCGATAATTAT